GACAGGCGCGTGCTCGCTCAATCTCTCTCTCTCTCTCTCTCTCTCTCTCTCTCTCTCTCTCTCTCTTCTCTCTCTCTCTCTCTCTCTCTCTCTCTCTCTCTCTCTCTGTTGTTGTTAAAGTAAATGTTGCAAAAATTATGAAATAAGAAAACCTATGTTCTGTTCTCCACCAAGCAACCAAAGTGATTCTTTAAAAATATAAGACCATGTCACTCACCTGCTCAGAATTCTCTGATGGCCTCTTCCCTCACTCAGAATAAAAATCCAAGGTCTTTACGCAGCTGTCATGCCTCTGTTAAACTCCTGACCTCATTTCCTACCATACTTCTCTAACTTACTCCACTCTAATCACACTGGCCTGTCTGCTTTTCTCTGAACACACCAAGCAAAAACCCATGAGCATTGAACTTGCTGTTCCCTTCACTGGGAGCACTCTTCCTCCAAATACCCCCGTGGCTTGCTCCCTCACTCACTTTAGGTGTCTGCTCAATTATCACTTATTCAGACAGGCTATCCTTGACTCTTCTATGTAAGTACACTTATGTAGGACAGCATAGATATCCTCCATCACTATCTAAATCCTCTGCTCTGCTTTATATTGCTTTTTTGCACTTATGACCACATAATTTATGTTGTCTTTCACCTCCTATCAGAATGTAAGTGTTTTTTTCTGTTAACTACTTATCCTCAGTGCCTACAATAGTACCGGACACATAATAGTTGCTTAATAAGTATATTGAATGAATGAGTGAGAAGTAATAACAACAGAGTCAGAAGTAGTGAGCATTCTTTCACACCAGAAGAATAAAGTAGTACAAAAAGATAAGGGGAAAAATATCCAAAAGGAGGAAAAAAGTTAACTTTATACAGAAGTAAATAATGCTACATACTTTGACACAGAGATGCAATAACTGTAGCTAAGACCTGCATTTCAGAAGTAAAGAGCCTTATAATATTAATCATAGTAGTTTTTAAACATGTGACGGAATGTTAACTTTTATTGGCAGTAGTCACACAAGATCTCTTTTTAAAAGATTATGTATAGGATATCTTATTTTCTATTTATTTTTAAATTTTCTTAATTTTTCAATTACAGTTGACATTCAATATGTTAGTTTCAGATATACAGCATCGTGTATATCGTGTAACATTTATGTGTTACAAAGAGATCCCTTTGATAAGTCTTGCACCCACTAATACAAAGTTATTGTGGTATTGTTGATTATATTCCCTAAGCTATACTTCACATCTCCATGACTATTTTGTCACTGCCAATTTGTGGTTCTTCATCCCTTTACCTTATTCACCCAGCCAACTGGCAATCATCAGTTTGTTCTCTGTATCTATGAGTTTGTTTCTGTTTTGTTTGTGTATTTTGTTCTTTAGATTCCACATATAAGTAAACTCATATGGTATTTGTTTTTCTCTGTCTGACTTATTTTACTTAGCATAATACCCTCACGGTCCATCCATGTTGTCACAAATGGTAAGATTTCATTCTTTTTTTATAGCTTAGTAGTATTTCATTTTATATATATGCCATTTCTTTATCTATTCATCTTTTGATTGGAGTATTTAATCCATTTACATTTAAAGTAGTTATTGATGTGTATGTCGTTATTGCCATTTTATTCATTGTTTTCTGATTGTTTTTGTAGTTTTTCCCTGTTCCTTTCCTATTCTCTTGCTCTCTTGTACGTTGATGACTTTCTGTAGTGTTCTGTTTGGATTCCTTTCTCTTTATTTCTTGTATATCTCTTGTATATTTTTGATTTGTGGTTACCATGTGCTTTATATATACCAGAGTATGTTTAGCAGTCTTTTAAGTTGATGGTCACTTAAGTTTGAACACATTCTAAAATCACTACCATTTTTATTCACCCTTTCACATTTATGTTTTTGTCATTATTTTTTACTTCTTTTTGTGTGTATTTTGTGTCTATCCCTTAATTTACTGTTATAATTACACATGCTTTGCCTACTTTTGACTTTTAACCTTTGTACTAGCTTTAGTGTTGGTATATCCATTTCTTTTATTACGTTTCCCTTTGTCAGTGAGAATTTTTTTCTTTGTGATATTTTCTTATTCATACTTTTGATTGTTTTCCTTTTTCGTCTTAAAGAAGTCCCTTTAATGTTTCTTGTAATACTGGTTTGGTGGTGATGAACTCCAGTTCTTTCTTCTCTTGGAAGCTCTTTATCTCTTTTTCAATTCTAAATGATAGCCTTTCTGGGTAGAGTGATCTTGGTTTAGGTACTTGCTTTACATCATTTTGAATATTTTGTGCCAATCCCTTCTGGCCTGCAAAATTTCTCTTGAGAAATCAGTCTACAGTCTTATGGGAGCTCCCTTGTAGGTAACTAAATGCTTTTCTGTTGAGGCTTTTAAGATTCTCTCTTTGTCTTTAACCTTTGGCATTTTAATTATGATGTGTCTTGTTGTGGGCCTCTTTGGATTCCTGATTTTTGGAATTCTCTGAGCTTCCTGGGGTTTTATGTCCATTTCCTTCACCAAGTTGGGGAAGTTTTCCATCATTATTTCTTCAAATATTTCTTTCCATCATTATTTCTGCCTTTCTGTGTCTGTTTCTATGCACAAACAACTGTTCAATATCTTGCTTTTCTTCTGTTACGCAGATCAGACGGA